AAAAAATGTAGGCATGGGGTCTTGCAGTGTTGCCCAGGCTGAGCTCCTGTCTTCCAGCAGTCCTGGATGTGGGTGTGACTCCCGCCTGGCTACTGAGCAGCTGTGTGGCATCTGGAAAGCTACAACTTGCTCCGAATTTCAGATGCCATGGGAATAGCAGTGCCGGGTGTAGTCGTTGCAGAGATGGGCTGTCGCGTGCCACTCTGCCTGGTGAGGGGAGTATGTCCGGTGCCCTCCCCAGCTCCTTGGCCCGTGCACCAGCCTCTCTTGTCTTATTTCCCCACCAGTCTTTCGTAGTCTGCGCTCCCGCCAGACCCCACCTGCCATGTTTTCCTACCTCTCAGCATCTGCTCTGCTGTAGCGTTGTCAGGAAAACGCTTCTCTCCAATTCCAAATATACCAGTCATCTCTCTTCCTGGGCCTGGCCGGGTGTCACCTCTTCTAGGAAGCGCTATTGAATCCTCTGCCTCTAAGTCGCCCACTTGCTTCCAGACTGCAGAGGCTTTCCTGTCCCTCCCCGCATTCCTGCGGTACATAGAGTCTTGTGCCACTCTGAGCACTTTCCGCATGGGAACTCATGGGTGTCTGCCCTAGCGCGCCGCCTGTCTCTGAACCTTGGCTCCCGCGTCTACCCCGAGCACCGCATGTACTCGTGAAGGTGTTGTGAGTGGAAGCCTTGCAACGTGGGCTGGCCCAAGAGCCGGGCTGATGGTGTTAATAGGTGTTTTGTTGTCATTTGTATTCCTGCTGCAGTGTTCCTGAGCTCTGTCTACGAGGCTTTCCATTCCCTGAGGGCATGGTCTGAATCACACTTTTTTTTTGAAAGCGGCAATTATTGAGAGGACAGAAAAGCTCCCACAGTGGGAGGGGACTCGAAGAGGTTGCCCTGAATCATACTTTAAAAAAAATTTTTTTCAAAGGGCTTATCTGCCTTTTTTTATTTTTATTTTTTCTTTTCGTAGCTTTAGGGGGTACCAATGGTTTTATTTTAAATTTTATCTTAGAGTGGTGGGGTACACACGAGGATTTACTACATGAGTAAATTGCATGCGGGTGAGGTTTGGGCTTGCAGTGGGCCCTCTCTCCCGCCGAGAGTGGGCCCTCTCTCCCGCCGAGAGTGGACCCAGCACCCAGCGTGTTGCTGTGTGCTCTTTGGCCCTCCCTCCCTCCATTAGCAGTGTCCAGCATCTGTTTTTCTCTCTCTGTGCTTGAAAGAAATTTTGGGGCACCCAGTAACGACTCCACGCCGGTCTCAACTGAGAGATTTATTAAAGGGGCAGAGAGAGAGAGAGAGAGAGAGAGACCGAGAGAGAAAGAGAGCAAGAGAGTAAGAGAGTGGCGGGGACAGAGAGAGAAAGCAAAAAGGGGGGGGAGGGAGTGTGAGAGAAAGTAAGAGAGGGAGAGAGAGAGAGCTAACAAGAGAGTGGTGGGGACAGAGAGAAAAAGCAAGAGAGAGAGAGAGAAAGAGAAAAGGCTAGAGAGTGACGGGACAGAGAGAGGGAATAAGAGAGAGAGAGAGTTATGCAGGGAGAAAGGTATATTTATGAACCTTGCAGGGGCAGGCCAGTGCCGTGCCTGAGTCTTATTGGAGGAGACTATGAGGTAGCATTCCTATAGGGAGATAATGTTTGTACATGAGTTCAAGTTTCGCGCGCACGCGCACGGGAGAGGCAGGAATTTACAGCCTTTGTTGTCTTTGGGAGGCAGAGCCATCTTGGGGATGCCCTTCTGACTGTGGTCTGCACCTTTCAGTGCTTGTGTGACCAGTGACCAGGGCCTGCTTGTGCGTGAGAACATGTATTCAGTTCTTTGTTTCTGCGACAGTTCACTTAACATGATGGTCTCCAACTGCTTCCAAGTTGCAGCAAAGGCCATGGTTTTGTTATTCTTCAGGCTGCATAACATTCCATCATGTATGTGTACCATACTTTCTTTTTTTTTTTTTTTTTTTTGAGTTGGAGTCTCACCCCGTTGCCCAGACTGGAGTGCAAGGGCACACCCACGGCTACCCTGGCGTCAACTTGCTAGGCTCTGGTGATTCTTCTGCCTCAGCCTTCTAAGTACAGGTGCGCACTACCACACTTGGCTAATTTTTTATTTATTGTAGAGATGAGGTCTCGCCAAGTTGCCCGGGTTGGTCTCGAACCCGTGGGCTCAGGCAATCCGCTAGCCTCGGCCTCCCAAAGTGCTGGGATGTCAGGCTGAGCCACCGAGCCCAGCCTATACTTTCTTTATTCAGTTCACTGTCTGTGGTCATCCGGGTTGGTTTCATGTTTTTGCTTTTGTGAATAGTGCTGCAATGAACATATGCGTGCAGGTATCTTTTTGGTAGAGTGAATTATGTTCCTCTGGGTAAATTCCCAGAAATGGGGTTGTTGGATCGTACAGATAGTTTTTAGTTACTTGGCCTCACTGTGTGGTAGTGAAGAAGCCTGGGCTTAAAGTGTACACTATACACGATAGGTGATTTTTCAGCCCATTCTCCCTCCCACCACCACCCCGAGTCTCCGACATCCATTATAGCATTCTCTATGCTTTGCAGATCCTTGGTTTAATCCCACTTATATGTGAGAGCCTGTGGTGTGTGGTTTGTCTTTCCTGCGTTGATTCACTTAGGATGACGGTCTCCGATTCCATCCAAGTTGCTGCAAAAGACATGATTTCATTCTTTTTTATGGCTGGATAGTATTCCGTGGGGTACATGTATACGTTTTCATTATTCACTGATCAGTTGATGGACGTTGATATTGAGTCCACATCTTTGCTCTTGGGAATTGTGCTGCAGTAAACATAGGAGTGCAGGTATATTTTTTGCATTACAACCGCTGTTCCTTTGGGTAGATACCTAGTAGTGGGATTGCAGGATCAAATGGTAGATCTATTTTTAGTTCTTTGAGAAGTCTCCCTACCAATTTCCATAGAGGTTGTACTAATTTACATGCCCACCCACAGTGTATAAGCATTCCTTTTTCACTGCATCTGTGCCAACATCGACTTTTTGTTTTTTAATAATGACCATTCTGGCTGGTGTAAGGTGGTATCGCATTGTGGTTTTAATTTGCATTTCCCTGATGGTGAGTGTTGTTGAGCATTTTTTCATTTGTTTGTTGGCTATTTGAATATCTTCTTTTGAGAGGTATCTGTTCATGCCATTTGCCCACTTTTTAATGGGGTTATTTGCTTTTTTCCTACTAATTTGTTTGCATTCTTTGTAGATTCTATATGTTAGTCCTTTTTCAGATATATGGTTTGAGAATATATTCTCCCGTTCTATAGGTTGCAAATTTACTCTGTTGCTTAGTTCTTTTGCTGTGCAGAAGCCTTTTAGTTTCATTAAGTCCTGCTTGTTTATTTTTGTTTTTGTTGTTTCTGCTTTTGAGGTCTTAGCCACCAATTCTTTGCCTAGGCCGATCTCCAGAAGAATTTTTCCTAGGTTTGCTTCTAGGAGCTTTATGATTTCAGGTCTGACATTTAAGTCTTTAATCCATCTTGAGTTAGTTTTTGTACATAGGGACAGATAGGGATCAAGTTTATTTTTCTGCCTGTAGCTATCCAGTTTTCCCAGCACCATTTGTTGAGTAGGGTGTCCTTTCTTCAGGGTACATTTTTGACTGTTTTGTGTAAGATCAGTTGGTTGTAGGTATTTGAGTTTTTTTTCTGGATTCTCTATTCTGTTCCATCGGTCCGTGTGTCTGCTCTTGTGTAAGTACCATGTTGTTTTGGTTACTATAGCCTTGTAGTGTAATTTGAAGTCAGGTAGTGTGATGCTTCCAGCTTTGTTCTTTTTGCTTAGGATTGTTTTAGCTATTCTGGCTCTTTTCTGGTTCCATATGAATTTTAGGATTGGCTTTTCTAATTCTATGAAAAATGACATTGGTAATTGGATAGGGATTACATTGAATCTGTAGATTATTTTGGGTAATATGGTCATTTTTGCAATGTTGATTTTTCTGGTTCATCATTTATTAAATCCAGGATTCTTTTGGAGGAGTCTTTTCTAGGTCTAAGATTTTATTGTCAGCATACAGGGATAGTTTGATTTCCTCTTTTCCAATTTGGATATCCTTTATTTCTTTCTCTTACCTGGTTGCTGTGGCTAGTGCTTCCAGTACTGTGTTGAATGGGCATGGCCATACTTATCTGTGAACTCACCCCTGTGCCAAGAGATGTGATGTTGATTTTCACCTCAGGGCACAGGTGCCTTTTTCCCCCCAAAGAATAAGTAGATAACTATAAAATCAGATGACCAGTCATACCCCAGTTTGTTGATATTCTGGCTTCATTATATTATTATTATTATTATTTGATGCTTTTTTAAAAAATGAGAACCAGTGTTGTTTAGGGAAAAGATGATGGGACTAAGAGGCATAGGTGAGTCCCTGCCTGTTAACTGGTGAGCCTAACCCAGCCACTCTCTCTTGGTCTCAGTTTCTTCTGTGTGGTCCCCACCCACCTCAGGGCATTGTGCGGGGAGCAGCTGGGTTCAAGTATGTTTGACCACATGGACAGTGGTCAAAGTGCTGTGCCGGGGGAGGCCCCATGACCTTCCCCGTTATTTTCACTTTTGTTAGCCTTATCTTTATCATCTTCTCTTCACTGTCTTAGCTTTTGTCTTTGTATAAAAAATGAAATGAGCTGGGTAAAAATGAGCTAGGGTGCTTGTAGTCCTAACCACTCGGGAGGCTGAGACCGGAGGAGAGTCACTTGGAGTTTGAGACAGGTCTGGGCAACATAGCAAGACCTTATCTCTACAAAAACTTTAAAAAATTAGCTGAGAATAGTACAGTGAGCCTGTAGTCTCAGCTTCTCAGAAGGCTGAGGTGGGTGGACAGCTTGAAGGCGGGAGTTTGAGAACAGCCTGGGCAACATGGCAAAACCTTCGTCTCAACACTAAATATATAAAATTATTTTTAAAATAAAAATGTTGGCCAGGCGCATTGGCTCAAGCCTGTAATCCCAGCACTTTGGGAGGCCGAGGTGAGCAGATTACCTGAGCCCACGGGTTCGAGACCAGCCTGGGCAACTTGACGAGACCTCGTCTCTACAATAAATCAAAAAATTAGCTGGGCGTGGTAGCGCACACCTGTAG